CACAGCTAGGTCCTTATAGTACGGCGCATGCGCTTCTCCATTAGCTTTACATCAAACAGCACATTCACGCCCCCTCACTCTGTCCCTCATCCTAAGCGCCACAATAATAAGGCGCATGCATTCAAGTCACAAGTTGAAGCACACACGTAAGGGTGTCTCCAAGGGACCCCTCAAGGCAAAGGAGACACCCAAGAAGCGGAGGCAGCCATCATGGAAAGGAAAGAAAGAAAGAAAGAAAGAAAGAAAGAAAGAAAGAAAGAAAGAAAGAAAGAAAGAAAGAAAGAAAGAAAGAAAGATTTAAAAAAAGGTAGAGACATCAACACATGAAAAGTTAAACAAAAAAAGGGAGGAGCGTTTAAAGTGATATTAAAGTCAAAAGGTTTTTAAGCCATTTCAGTTGCTAATTTAAATCACTTACAGTGGATGCTGATATTTGATGTTTAAAAGTTTTCATTTCCTGAGCACTGGCCCTGATATCCTGTTTTAGGGTGGCTCCTTTCCATTGCAGGGTCCTATGGAGCCACCCTTCTGTGTGTGGGTGTGTCTCCATAAACACAGCAAAGCAAGCTACTCCTCTGCTCCACCCCCCCCCCCTCCAAGCTAGTAGATGGACAGCTGCTGCTGTGCTCTACCTTGTGATCTTGTACTTGACAGGAAATTCGGGGAAGTGGAGCTGAGAGAATTGGAGCTGTTCAGACATGTGATGACTAAGGGCTTGGGGCAAAAATGTTAAGAAATGCTTTGCTGGGCCACGTATAAATGTTTGATGTGGATTTATTATTGAAAAAAAGATTGAGTGTTTAATACAACTTTAAATATCACTTTAAAGAGATGATTGGGTGGAGGACGTCCATTGTAAACTGTGACCCGATTCCTAAATATCCTCATTCAGCTGAGATAAGCCATTATGCTATTTAACTGCTTATGTTAAATTCACATTACCGCATTCTGAGAAAGCTAGCTGCCTGTCATGCCGACTCTCTGGCTTCAGTACATTGAGTCTATGGCCTGGAACATATCAGCAGGTCATCCATTTTGACTCGCTTCACAGGCCAGAGTCTTCAAACTTTCAAGCTATAGTGTCAGCATGTCAGCCAGGCAGTTATGTAAATAAAATACATTTAGTTCCATATGTGCAAGGCAACATCTCCCACCTGGAGCTTCACGAATGCTTTTCACAAGCTGCTCAAGGACAAACGTAACATAACCAAACTGTCATGGAAACCTACACACAAAACGATGCACAGGACTCAAAATCAGACTTAAAACAGGATGGGATTGGCACAACTTCAGAATTCAATATGCATTAAAATGGTCATAAATCAAAAATGTGCGCAGTGCCTCTCTGTCTTTAGGTCTTCGATGCTGATGCAAGTCCTCGAAATTCTATTTTCTTTACATGGTTACAAAACTATCATATGAGCAGATAGAGATCATATTAAGGTCACATTGCATTGCTTGTAGTCAATGAAGTATGTGGTTTCTTGTGTAATTGTATCCAGATGATGGAACAGGCGTCAGAGGGTACATGTCACTGTCAGATCTGAATGTGCATGGAAATGCTGCAATATTCCATACAGCTGTAAGAATTGTTCTGGTAAAGGGGGTCAGGTTATGAAACAGATTCCCCATTTCTGTATCCTTACACCTCTTTATAGCATAGATCATGAGATCATAAGATCAGGTCATGTAACGGTGTCCACATAAAACACAATTATATAATTAGACAGTCACGATCATTTAAACCATTAAATACAGATCTATATGTGGCTTAAATAGATTTAATTTGAAGGGAAGAAGAGACCCTGTGTAATGCTACCTGAAGAAGTGTAAAAACTTCAATTCCATTGAAAAATAATAATGTCATTACCTGGTAAAGGCAATACAAGTCAAACTTATTTTCAACAGCACAGGCCTGCGCTTCCAATTGCATTAGGGTATGCACACAAAATATATCTTTTTGTGTGTGTGTGTGTGTGTCATGTGACATTTTTTCTAAAAGAATACAGTACACAATAATGATTTTAGGACAGTGGTGAGGTGCCTGTTCACTAGCAAAGCTGTGGGGTTAATGGCCCACACAGCTACCATTACCCCCACAGAGCCAACTCTGGGGTTAGTAGTGGCTGTGCACCTGGGTCACAGCTGGTTCAGCGGGTGAGGCGGTAGCGTGGAGGGGATTTCGGCCAGCACTATAAACACATGCTGCCGTTCACAGGAAGGCTGCAGGGTCCTTGCTGGGGACTACAGGAGTCTTCCTGTGAAACCCGGCGCTTGTGTACAGCGCCGGCTTCAGTTTAAACCCCCCTGGCGGCCACAGTTGCGCTTGGGGCGATTAGGTGTTGCGATTGGGGCGATTAGGGTGTGCCCAGCCACACACCTATGTTCAACAGTATCTTTTACATTATACATCATGCACACTGCACTAACATGTCCACTGGACACCAGGGACGCTGTGCTAAGGCTTCCGCTGGACACCAGGGACGCCACACCAACATTCCACCAAACACCTGGGACACTGAGCCAACATATCCACCGGGTACACTACGCCAACATTCCACCAAACACCAGGGGCACTGCAACAACATTTTGGACATTGCACTAACATACCAACTTGACACACACCAGATCACGGACACCAGGGACAATGGGGCAACATATCTAAAAAGGGACACCAGGGACAATGGGGCAACATATCTACCGGACACCAGGGACAATGGGGCAACAAATCTACCGGACACCAGGGACAATGGGGCAACAAATCTACCGGACACCAGGGACAATGGGGCAACAAATCTACCGGACACCAGGGACAATGGGGCAACAAATCTACCGGACACCAGGGACAATGGGGGAACAAATCTAATGGACACCAGGGACAATGGGCCAACATATCTACCAGACACCAGGGACAATGGGGCAACACATCTACCGGAAACCAGGGACAATGGGGCAACACATCTAAAAAAGGGACACCAGGGACACTGAGGCAACACATCTAAAAAGGGACACCAGGGACAATGGGGCAACATATCTACCGGACACCAGGGACAATGGGGCAACACATCTAAAAAAGGGACACCAGGGACAATGGGGCAACATATCTAAAAAGGGACACCAGGGACAATGGGGCAACATATCTACCGGACACCAGGGACAATGGGGCAACAAATCTACCGGACACCAGGGACAATGGGGCAACAAATCTACCGGACACCAGGGACAATGGGGCAACAAATCTACCGGACACCAGGGACAATGGGGCAACAAATCTACCGGACACCAGGGACAATGGGGCAACAAATCTACCGGACACCAGGGACAATGGGGCAACAAATCTACCGGACACCAGGGACAATGGGGGAACAAATCTAATGGACACCAGGGACAATGGGCCAACATATCTACCAGACACCAGGGACAATGGGGCAACACATCTACCGGAAACCAGGGACAATGGGGCAACACATCTAAAAAAGGGACACCAGGGACAATGGGGCAACACATCTAAAAAAGGGACACCAGGGACACTGAGGCACCACATCTAAAAAGGGACACCAGGGACAATGGGGCAACATATCTACCGGACACCAGGGACAATGGGGCAACACATCTAAAAAAGGGACACCAGGGACAATGGGGCAACATATCTAAAAAGGGACACCAGGGACAATGGGGCAACATATCTACCGGACACCAGGGACAATGGGGCAGCACATCTACCTGACACCAGGGACAATGGGGCAACACATCTACCGGACACCAGGGACAATGGGGCAACATATCTACCGGACACCAGGGACAATGGGCCAACATATCTACTGGACACCAGAGACACTGGGGCAACATATCTACTGGACACCTGGGACACATGTCTACTGAACACCACGCCAACATATCTACTAGACACAAGGGACACTGCACCAGCATATCCACAGGACACCAGGGACAATGCACCTACATGTCTACTGGACACCAGGGACACTGCATCAACATTTTGAAAATTGCACTAACATACCAACTTGACACACACCAGATCACTGCTATAACATATCTGCTGGACACCAGGGACACTGCCCCAACATATCCACTGGACACCAGAGATGCTGAAATATAAAATCCACTGGACACCAGGGATGTTGCACAGAAAATACTTGAATACATTTTTGGGGTGTATTATTTTATAAATGAATATATACACACACCAAATATATTTATTTTTTATTATATATTTCTCTTTTCCCAGGGACAACGCTAAATATCAAGATATCAGTTAGAAAGCTGGCCGTTTAACTCTTAATACTATTATACATCAACTGAGCAATTGAAAGGAAATCTGTCAGAAAAGCAAGGTTCCCTTATGATAAGATTTAGAAGCTACTATTTTATGATTCCAGGCCATATAATTTTTCCCGGACAGTTAAGCCATTCAGCTTCATTGTAAGCAAAATCACGGCTGCGCACCTAAGCACACATCCAAGAGTCTGAAAATGGCAGCTTCAAACATAGGCTTCTCACACAGTACTGTGCTTTTTGATGGATATCCTTTAAAAAAAAATCATTATACGATGCGCCACTGGCTGTATGTAAACCACAGTTGACATATAAAGCATGCAGTAGAGACATACCTGTACCTCACTGTCCCATCCCTACAAAATATGTGTGCTGCATTAGAGGTTGATGCAGCACACTAACCAATATAGTACAAATGGGACTTTCTGCATTACATTACTGAAAATAAAAGTGCAAAATACAAAAACACATCCAACACTCAATCCTTACAAGCTGTACCATACTGAAACAAAAAAAAGAAGAACATAGTGAGAATTAAAAAGCAAGCCTATTACACTACTGAAACTTGGCAGGCATACATTGCAGTTGATGCATAAATCCTAAATCCTCAAATGCTTCTAATGTTAAAATAATATCCTCCTAAATATCTTAATAAGCAAAAAAGTTGCTTCACCTACAAATATCTTCTCAAATAAAATGAGCCTGACCTGCAAGAACTGCTCTCAGAGTCAATGTCCTCCTCGCTGGCTCCATCTTCAGCTTCTGGCTTGCTCAGCCAATGCACTGTCTCACAGGCACCTGCAGCAACTTCCACGGAGGGCTGTTGGAGCTCAGGAGCACATGCCATGGGATATGAGAGCAAATTGTGGAAGTCCTGATTGCTTGGCCTCCGTTGTCCCACAGATGTCAAGGGCAGAGGGAGGTAGCCTGGCTCTAGGAACTTTCTGTCACTAGTCGCAAGGCTCTGATCTCCATTCAAAAAGTCGCCTTGATGGCCAGTATTATTGGGAGCAGCCTGATGTCCGAACCACCTCCATCGGATTTTTAGTATCTGCTTCACATCAAAGTCCTTGCGGGAGCCAGACATTCTCATAGAAAGCAAGCGATTGTCTAGGCAACTGGGCAAAAAAATGCTGCACATACACGATCTACATATTCAACCTGCCAGAATAAGGGGACCAGCTGCAGGCGAACCCAGGAGCCAAAAAGAACAAACAGATTTTTTTTTAAGGGTATGCCGGTGATAAACCATTATCACCTGGCCATGCCGATGCCTCTCTGGAAATGCAGCTTGTGTGCCTCACACATGAAGGTAGAAAAAGCGTTGCACTTTCCACTGCATTCTTCCTGTGTCTGTGACTATTTGCTTTCAAAGACACAGAGAGCGTTCATTTAAGTCTTTCAGATGCTCAACGCCTCCCCCTTCTTCAAACCCACAAATGACAGCACAATTCACATACAGCATCTTTTCAGGCCACAGATTATTCTTTTTACTCTGCATTAACTTAACCTCAAAATAATAACAAGCATATCTTTAACAGAAAAGTAAATAAAACAACATACAGTACTCCTATTCCCACATTTAGTGGATGTAAGTAATGCTGGCTATGGGGGTCACACAGGTCTTGTTTATGTCTAATGGATACTTAATTAATATTTAAGCATAATGGACAAGATCAATATGGTACTTGATTCTTTGATTCTCCAGCCATCTGAATATAACTATGGAGAATAAAAGGATCAGATTAATAACCGTACTACAGTTGGGCATAGGAACAATCTTTCAATGCTGTGGAAAATCCATTTAGAAGATTCACAGAAAATATTTTGTTCTTTCGGCACAAATACGATTAATATCCCAAAAGCCGTGCACCACAATGATAACTCAAACCAACAATCTGTTTTCTGCTTTATGATCACTTCACTGAAACTACTTTAGGGGTCTCAAAGATAAATGTATCCTGTGCTATATTTCCCCTCTGTACCAACATGGTCACTGGCTATTAAAGAGGACAGATCAATAACAAAAAAGTGCTAAATACTGCTCCAGCCTACCTGCATCTGATTACGCGACCAAAGTGTAGGCATTTGGTCATGTGATCTCAGCAAGAGAAGAGGTTCAGCTAATCTTCACTCTGATCCTCCCTTTAAAAAAGAGATTACATGACCACAATTTTTGGGCTTGTGATCACATTCAACCCTGCCGGAAGCCTAGAACAACAACACTATATAACTGCTAACTCTCTGTACTGTAGTGTCACCTTCTTACCTAACTTTGCAGACTTTTCCAGAAGACCTCTACCCACCATCCTCACTATGGTTTCTGGCAGACCTCTATCCACCATGTGCACTATGTTTTCTGGCAGACCTCTATCCTCCATCCACACTGTTTTCTGGCAGACCTCTATCCACCATGTGCACCATGTTTTCTGGCAGATCTCTACCCTCAATCCACACTATGTTTTTTAGCAGACCTCTACCCACCATCCGCAATATATTTTCTAGCAGATCACTACCCACCATCCACACTGTTTTCTGGCAGACCTCTACCCTCCATCCACACTATGTTTTCTGGAAGATCATTACCCATCATCGGCACTGTTTTCTGGCAGATCTCTACTCACCATCCACAGTGTTTTCTGGCAGATCTCTATCCTTCATCCGCTCTACACTCCATCAACAGTATGTTTTCTGGAAGACCTCTACCCACCATCCACACTATGTTTTCCGGAAGATCATAACCCATCTTCGGCACTATGTTCTCTGGCAGATCTCTACCCTCCATCGGCCCTATGTTCTCTGGCAGATCTCTACCCTCCATCGGCCCTATGTTTTCTGGCAGATCTCTACCCTCCATCGGCCCTATGTTTTCTGGCAGATCTCTACCCTCCATCGGCCCTATGTTTTCTGGCAGATCTCTACCCTCCATCGGCCCTATGTTTTCTGGCAGATCTCTACCCTCCATCCGCACTATGTTTTCTGACAGATCTTTACCCACCATCCACACTATGTTTTGTGGCAGGCCTCTACCCACACTGTTTTCTGACAGATCCCCACCCACCCTCCACACTATGTTGTCTGGCAGATCTCTGCCCACCGTCAGCACTACGATTTCTGGAAGATGCCCCCTTCTGCTTTGCCAGTCTTTCCCTGACCCCCTCACCCACGATCAATTCACCTTTACTTTAAAAGGTCAGCTTCTCCTCTGCCTACTCTCCCAACATTTGATGTTCACCTTCTCAACTGCAATATCTGCAAGTGCTCCATGGTCAGCTGTTGCTCTTCTCCCCTCCAATTCTATGCCCCCCTGGACCACTATAGTGTGTTCCTCATTTTTCCAGGAGTATGGAAATGTAAAAATACAAACAAAAAACGTGGTGGATCGTTTTTCACACAACGTTGGAGCAACAGCTGCCCAGTATTTAGGACGCTAAACTGCCACCTCCTAAATGCCATTTTTTAATCCCAAGGGCAATTTTTCATTGAGCTATTGTGCCACAATTGCATTCCAAGTGTTTGGCATGCAGTTTCAGTGTGGACCTATTCACCTCTCTTGGCAGACACTGTTGCAAAATGTTTACCATGCCATGAAGAAAAGCATCATGGCAATGCATACAACACTGACCAGCCACAATGCAAACATTGCAACAGGTGACTGGAGAGCAGTAAAACCATGGATCAGCCTCCTGATTTTACCGCCCCTCAGCTGCCTGTCTAAACAAGCAAAATCGCTTCTCTCTATACTTTCAATGGTCTATGATAAGCTCTCATTTTGCTCCCATATCCGATCTCCACCATCAGCTGACACTCTGTCACCTCCAATGATTAGTTCAAGTGAGTTGGTCAGCTTGACCTAATAATGTCATGCTAGAACAGGAAATGCCATAAACTACCTCAAAAAGTGAAGATTTATCAATGTTGTAGGAAAACATTTAGAAATGTCAATTGTGCCTAAGCAGTACCATGTAAAACTACCTTTGTCTTGAAGTCCTGCTGAAAAATAAGAGTGCACTTCCAGGTATGTAGGTGTGCTAAGGCACTCATTCGTCTACAGCAGGGGTCTCAAACCCAAATTCACTTGGGGGCCACTGGACAAAATTTCATACTTCAACAATCATTCTCCCTGAATGCACAATTGATGTGTCCAGACATAGTAATTGATTCCTAATTGCATGTAATCGTATTACATATGATTACATGCAGTGTGCAGGCGTTTACATGAGGCAGCTGTCACCTGATCATTAACTTGAACGTGTGACAGTTCCCGCTTGTTAGGTCTGGTTCAAATTAAGGATGCACCAATACCGGTTTCTCGGTATCGAGTACGAGTACTGATATTCTGCTTTCGGTACGGAGTGCCGGCACTGACAGGAGCAGCTATGCGGCCTGCATCCGACAGAGATGCAGACCATGTAGCTGCTCCCGTAAGTTAGGTACACGGTCTCTGTCCGTGTGCCTTACTTGTCATCTGGCTGCAGGCCACAGAGTACCCACAGGCCGGTACTTTGATACCCCTTGGTCTACAACTTTAAAGCTGTGTATCTGAGATCTAAGGCGCTCCTGCCCCCCACTACTAGTGTCAGAAGATTTGGAGTGAGATTTGGTGATGTCACTACTGTGCTGCTCACTACCGTCTTTGCTGGATGTTCCGATATGAGGAAGCTAAACCCTGCCTCTACCAATGTGGCTGCCTCCCCACCGAGACACTGTATAGAACAAGGCATGGTAAAACAGCTGTGGGGAGATCATAAGCCAAGTCTAGGACTAGTCCTTTACCCTCGGTCTGCCTTTTTTTAGCACAGTTTCCAGAGTTAAGCTCCTCTTTAAAAAGGGCGATTAGGGTAGGTACATCAGGTGTTCATTTAATGAAAGTTGCAGATTTCAAAATATCAAACGACTTTTAAAATAAAACGAACATGCTAAAGAACGTATGAGATTTTAGGGATATATCTCTCTAGACACACACACACACACACACACACACACACACACACACACACACACACACACACTCTTTAACCAGGCAATTTGTAAACTGGAAACAATACAGTAACACTTGCTAACACAAATTACGGCTTCCCTTAGAATCAGTCAAATCTACAACATTGAAGCTTTTAGGGAAGATCAATGTTCTCCATATTGGTTGACCTTAGAAAAGAAATGTTACAAACTATAAAATAATCAATTTTCCCCACAGTTACAAGTTCAATAAGTCAAAAAGGCTGAATGTGACTGTTATTTGTTTTATTCCTGAGGTTAAGAAGAAGGCCAGTTAATTTCCATGAATGTGGGCAATCTCAAGCCATAGTTGTTTCCGGAGAAGAATTGTGCTATTAAGATTTCCCATCACTGAAATTGTACAAAAAAAAACGTAGAATGTCTTTATATGTGACATGTCAAAATAAAATCCATAACATTTTACAGAGCTGTGACAGGCACAATTTGCATCTAATCTCAGCAAACCAAGGGGCACATTTTAGTCTCTCTCTGCCAACACCCAGCATACAGATCACATACCAGAATACAATAGGGGTGTTCCTTTTCCTGCCCTCTATATGCTCTGCTGTTAACCTACATAATCTAGTGAAGGAGGTGCCAAAAGATGATATTTTGCAAGCAATCAGGCACTAAACTGCATACTAGCTGCTCATCCATTAAAACTAGGAAAAGTGTCATTACGTTATATTTAGTGATTTTAAAGCAGTACTATTACGGAAGAGTCCTGGGGCCATGCTAAAAAAATATGAAACATAAATTCTGTGTTTAAAAGTCAGAATTCTAAAAACAGAATTAGGAGATTAAGAGTCAGAATTCTGACTTTTAATCTCAGAATTCTGTTTACAGAATTCTGGCTATAAAACAAAGAATTCCATCTTTCAAACAGAGTATAGCTTTATTTTTGTTTTTTAAACATTCACACAAACAAGCAGTTAACACTTACAGTGCCGGGGCTAGTGCTACTGCAAGGGTTAATAAAAACATTCCTGGAGTTCTTTAACTGCAGTGATAAAAAAGTGAGGTCAAGAACCTGGCAAACCCATGTAGCAGGAGTCAGGGAACTGGCTGAAAAGAGTTAAGAATCAAGCAAACCCGTTCTGTTATATTTTATTTAAACAGTATTTTTAGCTGCTTGCCTATAGTTCTGGTTTAACAACTCCCCATATTAAATCATCCTGGCTTAGGTCCTTTCAAAGTCAGTGAAATGTTTTTTTTTTTTAATTTCTGGAGTAAATGCCTAAAATCTACTGCATCTCCCCAGCAACTGGGATACATTGGGAATGCCTGCTCCTTCCTAATGGGCAGGAGGGGTAGTACCTAGTTAGAACTTGACAATGTCCACAGATCTTACTTTAAAAAACAGAACCCCAG